CATACCCTCTCTATGAGATAAATGTTCAACTGTGGCAGTGACGTTTAATCCTCATCAGAAAGTTCACAGCTTTGGCTTTAAATGTGCTCTTGAAGGTTTTAGAGGTTATAAAATCAAAACAATCAGGGTTATATATGCATTTCTTTTATCTTCAAAATATTTGCATTTAGCACTACATTCATGTATTTGTACATAGACTTGGCCCCTGACTATTGATGTTTACTGGCTACTGTAACTCATTTTTCGGAAATAAGGCAATATCTGGGGGAAAATGCCCAGAGCTGCAACATGTCTTTTGTTCTTGAATGTCTTTGAAGGTTATTACATAAAAAAATTGCAGGCTTTGTTTACATTTCCAGCTCTACCTATAAATAGTTAAGTAACCACAGAATTCATGTGGACCTATGTGCACCGCCCCTTAATGTTGGTTGGCTACACAGTCAAAGTCAGGGTGAGGGGGGGGGGTTCCGATGATAACTCCTTTACCTCCCCCTGGAGGCGTGGTTTCGCTTACTGTACCCATAGATTGTGCAGTAAGCACTTAAGTGGCCCCGCCCCTTAATGCTGATTGGCTACTCATCACTCATGGTGCCGCACGTTCGTGTTCCTGCCGCGGTGCATCGGAAAGTACCTGGTTTTTGTTTACATTTTGCCGCGGTGCATCGGAAAGTACCGGGTTTTTATTTACATTTTGCCGCGGTGCAACGGAAAGTAGCCGGTGCTAACGAAAAGTTCCGGGGTTTGTTTACATTTCTTGCTGTATGCACAAAATCTGCAAAAGTACTGCCCTGCTTCGGGTTTTCCAAATAACCTCCGGGTTTTCACAAAAACCAATCAGGTTTTCAGAAAAACCTTCCGGGTTTTCCAAGTAACCGGGGTTTGTTTACATTTCTTGCTGTATGCANACCGGGATTTTTAAATTTAATTCATTTGCGATCAATACTGTGCTCCTGAAGGTCGTTCAAGGTACCAGGTTTTCCTGATAACCGAAGGCCATCAAAACAAAAGTATCGGGTTTTCCTGCTAACCGAAAACCATTAAAACGTAAAGTACCTTTTTTTTTTATTTAATTCCTGACTGCGGGAATTTTGCTCACCTTCGTCCATAGCTTCCTTAGTGTGGTTAAATATTAAAGAAAAAAAGTCAATTGATGGGGCTGGAATACTGTGGGTGGTAAATTGGTGCGTCTTGAAGACTTTACTCATGACCCATTGAAAACTGCAGTCATCGTTGTTAGCAGCAGTAGCAGCATTATTGCGAAATACTCGTTCCTATGTCATGTTTCCTTTCTACTCATATTTGTAATTGACTTACCTGTAGGAATATTTTAATAATACATCAGTCATGCATCAATAGGATCTGGGAAGGGAGCATACACAGACAGCAATGTGATCTCATAATCCTGTTTTAAAGGAAAAAAGTTGTGACACAAGCTGATAAAATATTCTTGGGCTATCAGCCATGTGTGATGATAGGGAGAGATGGTCCCTGCGACATTGGAGATACTTAACCAATTGATGGAGCTCAAAGCCAAAGCAGATTTCATCCACTGTAGCTGCCATGAAAGCTTCAGATCTTATGTTTAACGTGTGGTTTACACTGTAGTTAAAAGGTAAAGCAGAGAAATTTTATTTCAGATGTACACAGTATTTGTTACATGCCACAGGAAATTGAAAATGTGACTAGCCTTACATGAATAGATAGCTTATAGCATTTTTTTAAATGTTATAAAAAAAACTGGCACTTTTGATATAATATCACTGTTAGAGGCAGAAGTTATGGCTGCCATAGGAATTCTGTGTTCCAGGTAGTGATGTGATACAATGGCAAGTGTGCTCTGTACGAGTATGCAGGACACCACTGGAGGTTAAGCAACAAATATTTAAATGTGGATTCCAATTAAGATCATGAAATTTCCAATTTCGCAATGTGGGATTTTTATTGGGAAGTGTGTCTGTCTTCTTCTGGTGACAGGGCTTGTACAAGGGCACGCTGAAAGTAATGACTCCCGATTTCTTTTCCATAATAGCAATTTCACTGAAACAGAAATGGCTACTTTCCTTGAACTTTGTTCCCTATTTTATACAATTACTTCTCAAACAACCACTTCTGCAGTCCAGACACAGCTGACATATTTCACGTACAGGTATTCATCAATTAATGCACTAGTTGTGTTCCCAAAAGGAGTCACAGGGGGTGCAATGACATAAATGACATCAGGCAGGCCGAATTTTCTCTTCTCCCTTTGCATTCCTCCTCCACACCTGCACAGCATCCTAATCTCACCTCTCTTGATGGGCCAGCAATTAGTTCATACTAAAGCAAATGTTACAGGTCTAAATTAATTGACTGCATTAAAATGAAACATGTTTCGAACTTGCATATACCAAGGAGTACCTGTACTTCTGTGAGTGTGGCATGGAAGAACTCTGTCTTGTTGACAGAACTACATTTTCGCCACTGTCTTATGGAGGCATTACTTTTCAGCATACCCTTCCAGGATGAATGTTACTAATACCAAAGCCCACCAGTGGACGCATCATGATCTACAGTCTTATATCCAGTTTTGTCAAGATCTGGTTTGATTTCTTTCTTCCACCACTTTTGCTTTGCCAAGTGGATGCTTTCCAGCATGTTCCAACAAAAATATTTTATGTATTCGTGTTTCCCCATCTCAGCTACAAGTCCTTGATGCAACTTTCCTGACAAAACTGGAAAGCTGTATAATCATAAAGTTCCTTGCTGGGGACGTTGTGTGCTATAACACTGTGTTGCAGTCTGGCAGGCAGACACCAGGGTTCTGGCGAAACACACTATGCTGCAGTCTGATAGGTGGATACTAATGTTTTGGTGGAATGTGTGCCTCCAGCTTTAGGATGACTCCAGATATCAAGACATTTAGATTTCATAAGTACAGATGTTTGACCTGTTCCCATTCATGAATAATATGCATTGAAGCATCATGCTGTGTTTGCAGTCACAATATGAAATCAGGTCATCCACAAACAGCAGTTTCATTTGGCTGATGATACGGGATATGATACTGTGTAGGTTGGTAGAAGTTTAGTGACATTTCAGAGGAACACAATGCCTTCAGCTTCAATTTTCCACCCTGAAGATGGAAGAAGTATATTTGTCTGCAGTGCTGGTAAAAACAAATTACAGAGCATTACATTTCATAAGACTTGTCTTCAATAATACTGTGGAAAAGTCAGGATGTGATAGAATGTATGTAGCTGAAGTCTACCCTTATGATGGAGACAGTACGTTCCTCCAAAATGTTGGTGGACTCCTACCTGCCTAAACAGCGTCACTTCCAACTTCCTCATGATCACTGCCATGAATATCTCACATCTCACATGTAACATTGGTGTTTGTAGATGGCTGTACTTCCATTTATGAACAAGAAATACTGGCACACTACAACAATGCAGTAATTGTGTTGTACTGAATAAACTGAACTGTGATCAGTAAAAGTAAAAAGGAAGTAAAGCGATCCCTGTACCAGGCCGTGAAGGCCCACAGGGTTGTGAGATGTTGAGGGTCCCACATTATCTACACAATCGGCTCAAAGATGGCGGCAAGGTTGTCAGCCTTACGCGCCAGCTGCGCTCTACTCCCCAGGAAAACTATTTAATTAATTCCTGGTACTCATTTTTGTTAGAGGCTGAGTGAACCCCATGGCCATAGTGCGGCTGGAAGGATTAGGTCAACTGAAAAAAATCCAATGACCTCATCGGGACTTGAACCCGCGACCTTCCGGCTTGTAGCATAGCCCCTCAACCTTCTACGCTACTGTATGCCCCCGAACTGTGATAAGTTCAGATGAATTATGGTACATAATGAAATTATTTCTCAGAGAGTTGTTTGAACAAGTCTTCATCACAGTAGCGAGTCTGTTAGGAAATCTGTACAAATTAATAAGAAATGGCAAGTCTACCACTGCAACCATTTAAACCTATTGGCCTGACACTTCAGTGGCCCTGTCTGGGCTCCAACTGCACGTGGCCACCTCAAGTTCACAGTGAAATGTTTAGTGCATTCAAATATATTATGAAATTAAAACATTTTTATACCATTTTTCCTAAAGCTGATATACATTTAAATACTACACCAAGTGAAACTATTTTATTGTACCTTTCTCAACAGGACACTAACCAATAAAGAAACAAAATCTTAAGTTTATTTGCTAGGTGTGTCATACCGTTTGTTTGAAAACCATTTACAGAAAAATTAATCACCTATGGTAAGGATAGTTAGTAATGACCATCAATTACCATAAGCAGACTGCTCTGAGTGAGAATGTTACAAACTAAAATCAACTCCATACATAATTCCAACATTGCAAGTAAGCACACTAACTGAACAACATATTCTGCATGCACCTAATGGAGTGGGTGTATGTAGGTAAATCAGTAAGTAAGTTACAAATGGATATAGAACTTAAACAAATAAGAGTACTGATCTGAAAAATGCTTTTATTTCTCAACACAATCTCCCTGTACATTGAGGAACTTGTCCCGTCGTTTGACAAGCCCCTGAAAACCAGCAGCATAAAATTCGTTGGGCTGCTGTCGGAACCAGGCAGTAACTTCCCTTTCTATAGCTTCATCGTCAGGAAAATGTTCAGCCAAAGTCGCTTGAAGCAAGGTCGGGGCTATACGGAGGATGCTCGAGGACTTCCCACTTGAAATTTTGCAGCGTCTCATTTGTCTTGTTGTCAGAATGGGGATGCGCATTGTCATGCAAGAGCAATACGCCTTTGGTGAGGAATCCTGGTCGCTTCCGTTGAATGGCCTTGCAAAGTTTTCTAAGGATGTTAAATCCTACTGTCAAATCCTCAGGAACTAAACGTTCCCTATAAAGGGAAGTCACCACCTGGTTCTGGCAGCAGCTCAAAGAATTTTATGCTGCTGGTTTTCAGGGGCTTGTGAAATGATGGGACAAGTGCCTCAATGTACAGGGAGATTGTGTTGAGAAATACAAAGCATTTTTCAAGTCAGTACTCTTATTTGTTTAAGTTCTATATCCATTTGTAACTTGCTTATTGACTTACCCTCATATAATTTTACATGTGTTTCAGTAATATATCAGTGGTGCCTTACAATGATTTGCAGTAGACTGTACATCTTCTAATTCTGTTGCTTGTATAATTTTACAGCTTTTCATACTGGCCTACCACTGAATGAGGGTTTCCTTCTTCTCTTGGAAGGATACACATCACTGTTTAGTGACCAATTTTCAGGGTTGAATGCAACATGGATGGGGGGTGTACAATATTGCTACTGCAATCACGAAAAACCAAATATAATTACTTCATGTCTGATTTAGCTCAGAGGCTGTTCATCTGGCTCAAGTCCTATAAGCAAGCAACTAATCACTAGAAATTGTACTTTTCAGCTTACAGGTGCCAACAGGTAACCTAAGGAACCAGGAGAACCACTGTACTCATTTCAATGTGACATGAAATCTGTGACCTTCCTTCCAATACACATGGGCACTGTCGGCAGCTGCAAGCTGTGTCTTATTTAAAATAGAGATGATATTCCAGACAATAAGAAACAATAAAAACATGAGTTGGTGCCAAAGTTCAGAGTTGGTGCCAGCGTATTTCATGAAGAATTTAAAGTTTTGTTTTCGAGATGGTTGCCCTGAAAAAGAAAGAAATAATATGTAGTATTGCACATGTTAAACTTGAAGACTTCACAAAAACCTCACATGGTCGTTTTCTTCTTGAAAATTAAATCTCATATTCTGCATCAAAAACAGAATTTTTAGTGAAGCTTCACAGTACCAAAGAGGAAAATCTTATTAATCAATCCGTCATTAAAATGACACTTTATGGTCTACAGTCTAGAAATTATAACAAGGTCAGTGATATGCTCAGAGAAAAACAAATATTTACTTTGCGGCAGTATAATCACCAGATGACACTATCAACATTACTACATGGCTTCCCATCTACTCAGCCTTTAAGTTAAAGCTATGAATTACTGTTATTTGCAATGTCAAGATTAGACAAATTTTGAATTAAGTTGACTGGTTTCATCAAGTAATCTGTGTTCTCGTGTCTAAGCCTGTCAGTTAATGAATAGAATTACTTTTTCTTAGTTAGAACTGGCTGTTCTTTTGAATGAACTGAATGAGTGGCAAACAAAAAGGATACTCACGTTTGTTTACTGCCACTAAGGACCACAAATGGAGATTGTGTTTCTTTCTGCTTCTGCTGCAAGAGGCTAAGCGTTCCAAGTGGGGTGTCTGTTGAGCTCATCTGTTTCATCAACTAGAAACAAAAAATATTTGACACTTCAGATGGGGCACATTCTGTTTGCCTTTAAACATGCTGAACTGTTTGCAGCACCTGTCAATGATTATCCTAACAGCTGGCCAAATTTTAAGTTAGTCTGCTGCTTGAAGTCATCAATTTCTCCCAATTTCCAACCCATGGTCTGTGTTCATGTCTGCTAGCCTAATGACAACTGAACAAATATGCTGGGTGCTTTATGAGCAGGCTCTTATCTTACATGCCATAATGTGGCTGTATTCGCTTCTGTCCCAGGACTGAAGCTACTGTGTATGTTTGTAGTCAGTGAAAATGAACACACAAAAGGTGTGGATGGATATCTATCAGCTATATGGAATCATGGGCTTTTAAGATAACCACAATTTACTTCCTTATGGAACACCATTTAGAAATAGCATCAAACTGTTTCACAGAGTCACGGGCAAAGCATCATTCTATAAAACTTTCTAAAAGCTGTAAGATTTGAGGCTTTCACGGCGGTGACTACGAAGAAAGCAGTCTTCTGGGATTTGGTACCGTGTATATGTGGTGTTAACTGACGTTTCGGAGGAACCCTGAAGANCCACTTCATATATACACATGCATAGAAGGGACCACACAGTAATGACCAATAACCACAACATGGAAGCAGAGCAGTTTCTTCATTTATAATTTTAAAACACCTGATGATGACCTTATAGGGGGAAACATGTAGTGAATAACTTTTAGAAAGTTTTATAGAAGAATGTGCTGCCCATGAGACTGTGAAACAATTTGATACAAAATGAGGTGCAGCAGAGTGCTACAATGTAATATTATTTAGAAATAACAGCTCATGGACCAATACTCACTCCTTCCTGTTCATTCTTCTTCATTCGTTTCTCCACTTTATTTTTCCCAGGTCCCTTTCCATGAAACTTATGAGACAGGTATCTGAAATTAGAAACAGAGACAACATTAAGGTCACTGTATTTCAGGATCTTACAGAATGTGGCCATGTTTCCTAGTAACACGTTAACACCCTTTCATCCTGAAGTTTCAGCCAGAAAATAGGGGTATGATCCATACAGAGTTCAATCTATTATTTTGTGAAATAATAAAAATATGTAACATTCTGTTTTCCAACACAACTAACTCATACAGCCAATAACCAGAAATGGGCATGCTACAGCACATTAAAGTCAGCGGGATTGAAATGATTAATGCCAAATATTTTAATAAAAGTACAATGGGACAGTAATAATTTTGAGGCATGTTTCTTCTTAATTCATGCAACCTATCTGCAAAATGAACAATTCTGCCACATTCTATGCCTACACAACAAACTGTATCGAGTACAAAGTATTTACACACTCAAATGTAACAATATGTTGGCTAGTTACAAACTGCAGTGTACAGAATGAGAGAAAAGTAAGTCAAAACAATGAGTACTACTTTAAGCATCTGAGGTGGAATACAATAATATCACCCCCATGATATGGTAATCACGATAGTGCTGGTCAGCAGAGGAACCCTATAATTTAACACGGGCTGTAACAGAGGAACCCTATAATTTAACACAGGCTGTAACCCATGGGGGGGGGATCTTCTGTAGTCCCAAAGCTTTAACTCTGGTAGATCTGAAGGCATCATCTGTGAGCAGAAAAATCTGTAAACAGATGTGACTGAGGACTGAACTCAGAACCTTCTGAATGGGTATAAAAGATTACCCCAAGACCCTTTTGTTAAGGACCTACTACCACACAAAAATTTAGTACACTATATTAAGTGGTTCTAGTGTTGCCTCCAACTCAGTCACCATGTTAATATGGCTGATGGTAGACAACTGAAGGAGCGTGTGAGTGGCACGATGACAATACAGTTTAACATAAATCCATCGGTTGGTTCACACATTATGGTAAGGATGGTATACATAGATGATAAAGAAACAATGTGGTCTTCTCTGTTTCCACTGAAAAACTGCTTTCTCCTTGGAAATTTTTCTTAAAATGACAATTCCTGTGGGAACTTTTTCTACTCTAAAGAATGTACTATCATTGGACAGGCTATCCTCCACCTATCTTAAAAACAGATATGCTATTATCTGTGCTAACCTGAAAGCCTCCTTTGCATTAAGAACATGTCCATCATCATCTATGTAGTCAAGTTTAACATTTGGCTTGTAACTCTCCTTCTCTTTGAAGTCTGAGGTTGGACCACTGTAGCGCTCGCGACGCCCAAACTTTTCATCATCTCTGAAAAAGATAACGCAATGCTGTATATTAAATTCCTTAAATAGTCTTAGCCTCAACAGTAGACTGTCTTGGCCATCGTGTACACCTCCTTAATATCGAGGGGCTCAATCCCGAGACGAGACGAGACTTGCAATCCAGTCATAGAGGAAATGACAAAGTATTCAAAGCTCAGCTATTCTTTACCCTTCAAAACCTCCTACTCTATTTCATAAATAAAGCAAGTGGCTGATCCTTGTGCCCATGACAACTGTCTTCCCTAAGGTCTGCTGCAGAGAAGACTTGACAATTACTGGACAACTTAAGAGGATTCAAGTGGACATGATAAATCTGCATATGCTGATATGCTGTACTCCCTCCAACAATGAGAAGCTAACGGAAGGTACACACCAGAGCACTGAGAACATCTGTCCCTATGGCTCAAATCTTACAGAGGGAAGAGCTGAGTTACCCACTAACAGGAACCTCTCTAGATGCCAGAAGACTACTTGTCTGCTCGTGAGTGCAGTGCAGTATAGTGCAGTGACAAAGCCCCTCATGACCATTCTCTCTATATCCTTTATTCTGAATCTGTGATTATCACTTCCTCTCATCTGACAATGCAACAAATAATCTCAAGACAATGGCAACACTAGCAGGTGTGTGGCTCCATGAAAATGACAGTTCCTTGTAGGCAAAGTCACTCCAACTTTATTACCTTGACATTTCAAGACAATATAAACCTGTATTTAAATTGTTGGTTTTGAGAAGAAGAAATTATTTCTCTTTTTCTTTCACCTATACCGTGCATCAGATCTGAACCAAACTTCATATGATCTGCCCCAGTGGTTCAAAATATGACCAACAGAAATAGCAGTAGGACAAGTACCACGCCCTGCCCACCCTAACTTTCAGTGAGACAGAACAAACAGATAAGCCAACCACATTACAATTTTCCCATGAAAATGTGAAGAAAATTGGCTTAGACTGACTCAGATTGCACAGTGACGGGGCAAACATAGAACAAATAAATGGTAAATCCTGTCTGGAGTTCTCATTTTTGTATGTGTGTGTCTGCATGCATACCACTGCTATAATAGTCACTCTTTCTTTCCTGCCGGCTCATGTATGTGTTACTTACATGTGTGTCTTATCCTCAATTGAGTAGTTCTGAGCTTGTAGATGAGCAAAACGTGAAGCTGAGGGCTTATTCATATCCTCACGCTCCAGATAACCCTTACTGACTGCCAGACGGAGGGCCCCTGCAACTCCTACACCTACATCAGGTTCCACGTCCAAGATCGGCACTTCAGCTGGCAGCATGTCGACTGGAGTCTCATCTGTTTAAATCAGGAAACAACCCAAATGAGCAAGGAATGTTAAATTTACACTACTCATGCCATTCTGAAAGGTATACAGATAATTATTGTAGTAATATAAAAAAATTAAATTCCTATTTGAGGATTCTTCATGGGATTGAAGAAAACCTTACATATATATATGAATATAACTTAACAGGTAATTCCTGTGGTATCGCTGAATCCAAACAAAATGGGGACTGCACATCACTTTCCTCCTCAATCTCTGTAAAATCTGAGACACTAAAATAGGGAAGAACTTATGAAACTGTTCCTACAGCAGGGCTCTCAAATTGAATATCTGCTAAGTTTCTTGCAGTCAGTGAGACTTACAAGCCACAGTTTTATACAATTTTAACTGTGTATCCTTTGGAATGTTTTTATTTACAGCACTTACACCCAACATAAGAAACACCATTACAACTAGTTATCATATACAATTTCTTTGTTGGAGTCCATCACAACACAACAATATAAAGGTCAAGGCTAAAATTAGCTTAGCTACATGTTTTGGCTGTTAAAGCCATCATCAGGCAAACACATGATTACCATATACACACACCACTGAACTGCGATTGTGATAGTGAAGCTGGGTACTTGGTAATTATTGCATTATAAAATACATGGTATAAAAATACAATTAAATTTAAACTTATTATAAAAACAAAAGTTATGGTGCAAAATAAGGTTAAAAATCTTCATGTGATATTCTATATCATGAAGTCAGTTGTTGCAATTTTGTTATATTCCCGCGAACATAATGGCATATTCTAGGCTTATATACATGTAATAAACTGCTTGCAGGCCCATGGTATAGATGTAGTATGGCAGCAATCTATATTCCCTACAGAAGAGACAAAATACATTGTAAGATGAGGGACCGGCTAAACAATTAACGTCAAAACTATACTACACCTATACCATGGGCTTCCAAGCTGTTTATTACATGTATACAAGTCTAAAATATACCATTATGTCTGCGGGAATATAACAAAATTGCAACAACTGACTTCGTGATATAGAATATCACATGAAGAGTTTTAACCTTATTCTACTCCATAACTTTTGTTTTTATAATAAGTTTATGGTTCATTGTATTTTTATACCACATATTTTATAATGTAATAATTATCAAGTACCCAGCTTTACTATCACAATTGCAGTTCAGTAGTGTGTGTGTATATGGTAATCATGTGTTTGCCTGATGATGGCTTTAACAGCCGAAACATGTAGCTAAGCTAATTTTAGCCTTGACCATTCTATTGTTGTGTTGCGACGGACTCTTAATAAAGAAATTGTATATAATAACACAACAGGATGCACGAAATGAAAATTAGTTTGCATATGATATAAAACTTGGCTTCCCAATGTCTGATTACCATCAATACTGACATTAAAAACTGTGACTTACTATATGCTTGTCAAAGCTAAATTAAACTGAATTTTTGTTGTGTGTTGGTTCTGGCTGAATACAAGTGTAAAGACTGTGTGTATATGCTTTGAACTGTTTCTTTCATGTGTAGTTCTTTATTCAAACCTGCCACAGTATGAAGAAAGCAGTCTTCTGGGATGTGGCACCGTGTAGATGTGGTGTTAACCGACGTTTCGGAGGAATGTACAAGTCTGCTTGTACTGTTCTCACGGTCTCTTCGCTTGCGGATTTTATTTTTCCTTCTACCCTGAAGATGGAGGCGATACATTCCTCCGAAACGTCGGTTAACACCACATCTACACGGTGCCACATCCCAGAAGACTGCTTTCTTCATAGTCACTGCCGTGAAAACCTCAAATCTTACTGCCACAGTATGTCTATTATATTTTAACAAATGCCTAGACACAGTATAAAAATCAACACACGATGAACCCTTATTCAATTTCCCATTTTATCCACTACTTTTATTTATAGCAAAAACATAACATGACCCCCTTTCACAAATCCTGATTGCTCTTCTAATAGTATGCATGCAAACAGAAGTGGAAGTGATTCATAACACAACGGAAATTCAATGAAAAATTAATTTTTTTTTCTCACAGAAGACGAATGTGACCTATGTATGGGTGTCTACAGTCCGTAGGAAGACAACCCTAATTTTGCCCTCTACTGCATATTGGCATTCATAACAAATACAACCACTTAATGCCCGCCCCTTCAATGTATTGATGCTGTATCAACTATACGTGCTACCACCTGTCAACTGATAACATGAATGGCATTCATTACATACCAGTACTAATATTAAACATTAAAGATTAATGTGTTCATATTAAAACCCCTAACAAAACTCCAGTATACAATTAAATATGGTACACCATTTGTGAAATCCTTAAAATATATACAATTAAAACCAATATTAAAGTGTAAATGTCTCTTAATTTGAACAGGCCTATGTGGTACATAAAGAATCTGCTAGTGACTCACCAATCTCAACTTCATTCCAAGCTCCACGTTTGCCTTCTTCTTCCTGACGTTTCTTCTCTTCAATCATTTCCCTCTCAAAGTCCTGTAGGTAAATTTCGTATGAGATTAGCAAAATGCAAATGCGCAGTCAAAAAATTACCAATTCAGAATTACCTTGAGACAGACTGACACCTGAACTGCTTACCCACCAATGACTATATAAAAATTACTGCACTCTAAAGTACTGACTACATTGTGTACGATTTGAGCTGCTGTCAGCAGTGGTTTTGAAGAGTTCTGTCATCTGGGATATAATGCCGGGTAGTCTGTCGGAAGTCAACATACATTTTGGAGACACGTCGCCTCCATCTTCAGGGTTGAAGACTAAACCAAGCAAGAAACAAGCACTGGCAGGTAACAAAGCCAATCTTCCTACCTGCTTCATGTCGGCTTCTTGTTTCATTTAGTCATGTTCTGAACTATTTATTCAACCCTATTTCAATTTCACATGCAATTCCTAGTAGCATCTTTTTTACCCTCATAAAATGCACATGGCGAAAAAAAGAAATAAAATATAAAAAGAATGCCTGGATTTGAGATTCTTACAGAGGAGATTGAGAAAAGCACCATCTTCTGGGAAGTAACACCCTCTAAGTCCACTGACATTCCTTCAAAATGCTTATGGACCTCATCACATTATACAATATTTTATTTCAGAATGTACCACTTGTCAAGAAGAAGAAGAAAAAGGTTCTACCATCTCAATTATCACATTCTTATTGTACAATGTACAGTACAGTACAATTGTACAGTATACACAGATGGATAACAACAATAGTGAACTGCTTGAACACTGAACTGGTATTGAAGAACGGTAGAACTAGACTGTCACTGTAACTCAGTGTATCTTCTTATGTAGCCTAGAATCGGACATATAGAAAACGGTTGCGTAATAGGTACTGCTATTGCCGGTTACTGTGTTTATAAGTTCCCTAGCAACCGCTGTTTACTTGCTTCTGCCTAGCAACCGTTGTTTACTTGTCGTTGCTAAGCAATGGCGCTTGTGTTGTCACACTTGCTTGAATGTGGGCAGTTCCCACAAGTGCTTTCCTTTCTAGGATTTCTGTTGGACGTTTCCAGTTCAGTAATTTATATATCCATTATCATGGAATTCACCTGTAATTAAAATATTTTAAAATTCTGTTGCAGCTGCAGTAAGTAACTGTAGATGAGCAATGGACTGTATCTAGTCTCGACACATGCTAAATCAAAGTGCCCTTCCCAAGTGTACATTTATCTGCGGATGGTTGTATTGCACTCACAAGAAGTTCCTGAGCGTCCTCATCCCTGTTGCCAGCCAGACCATAAGTGGGGATGTCACCCAGTGTGCGGCAGAATTCTGCGGTAGCATTCAGCACAATGGAACCACCTTCCGCGTTTCCTTCTGAGTTTCTCTCCAGCACTGACTCTGCCACCTACAAACATCACAAATCACAAACAGTTAAATTATGTAGCTATACAGCATTCTGTTTTGTAGTATCCATAAATGCAAAGCTGTCCTTATGCTTAATTAATTAAGCACTAGATGAAGGTGAGTGGTCAGTTCCGTGCACCTCCCACACCCGGGGAAAGAGCCCCTGGTACCTATTTGACAGGAGGCCATAACAAGTCTCAATAACCAAAATACAAGAAAGGATGATCATATTAAAAAAAAGTAAAGCTATCCCTGTAACAGACCATGGAGGCCCATATGGTTGTGAGATGTCTGGGCTCCCATATATTCTTGACACGTGGCTCACAGATGGTGGTGAGGTTATCAACCTTACACACCCAATGCCCTTTACCCCCAGAAAGATCCCTGGTACTAATTTTTGTTAGAGGCTGAGTTGACCCCAGGGACATAGTGCGGCTGGAAGGATTTGGTCAATTTAAAAATCCAATGACGTCATTGAGAATCGAACCCATGACCTTCCAGTTTGTAGCATGGTAACAAAGGATGATGGTATGACTTACATATGGAGATAAGATTTACTGGTTTGAGGCACACCACAACCTCAGGTTAAATTACAACACAGTTTCCCCACTGTACAATGGTTTTGTACAGTAATCAAAAAGGAAACATCATAATGAACTTTACTACAAAGTTCTGTGTAACATTTTATAACTGGAACATATGGACACTGTGTAGGAACTAAACACGGCACAGGATTCTGTAGCTAGGGACAATTTCATCACCTCCCACCACCGATCCACAGGGCTGCTCCTCTCTTGTCTCAGGGAGAAAAAGCAGAGGCAGGTAAGGAGAAGTTGGCCTTGACTGGTCAAGAGAAATGTCCCCTACTACAGCCAAAGATTTGTGAGAAGGATTATGAAGGAAATCTGTCGATGTGATGTACCTTTTCTATACTGTTCTTTGATTCTTTAACAGCTTCCTGCAGCTTCAGTCTCCGTGCTTTCTTGAGGGCTATCTGTAGCTCCAGTTCGCTGTCGTCGGGCTCAATCTTGATGTTGGACAATATCTCTTCTGGCACTGAAAGTAGTTTCCAGTCATTAATAACATTCAAAACTGCCCCTGCACATTTTCTTTCATGATTTCACAACACAGGTCGTAGCGGAAACTACACTGTATGGCATCAAATGGCTGATGATTAGTAAATAATGTATTCAGAAGCCATAGTGGTCGTCACCTGATTAGAGATACTAATTCCAGCCAGCATTTGCCTGGAGGTACTGTGAAAAACCACTAAAAACCTCAGTCAGATTAGACAGATGCTCTAGCTGAGATTCAAACAAGGCACCCCTTAAATACAGATCATGGCTGTTACTGCTACAGCCAAGCTGCTCAGACCTGTACTCCAAACATCATGCATCCACCAGAATACACTGTGACATGATGGATGAGAGCTGGAATACTGGGCCCAGAAAAGTCGTCCATTGTTAGGCAACAGCCAGCAAACACATTTCCATGCCAACCATAACACTCTACCACATCAACAATGCCCAGTAGGCCACAGCACGACATTGCAATGTATGAGGCTGGCGACCCACGTGACCCTTAATTTCAACAATAAAATGTCTATGGCTGCGGTGTTCTTGGACATCAAAAAAGCCTTTGATACCACATGGCATTCATGCTTGCTGTATAAGTTATCAAAATTGGAATTCTTGAACAGTTTGACCAAACTTACTGGGTCCTTTCTTTCTCAACGTAAATTCAGGGTTTCGGTTAAAGGCAAAATGTCAACCCCAAGAGAAATGCAAGCAGGGGTGCCACACGGTTGTCCTTTCCCCTACTCTTTTCAATTTGTACACAAATGATGCCCCCCCACACATGGTGTTCACATGGTCCTCTTTGTGGACAACACCTGTCGGTATGCGACAGATCGCAAGGAGGGTTTTATCGTTAGAAAACTCCAGCACGGTCTCAGCTCAATGAAGACCTGGTGTGAGCGCTGGAATATTAAAATTAATGAAGATAAGACTCAGGGGGTTTACTTCTCCCGTAGTCATCGAACGCCTGAGTCTTCTCTCACTCTAAATGGATGAAATATTCCATTTGTAAACAGTGCAAAATATCTAGGAGTAATCTTCGATAAGAGAGTTACATGGAGACTGCACATAGAAATGATCGAAGCCAAGGCCTTCAGAACATTCATTAGACTATATTCCCTATTCAAAAGTGAGCGATTGAGCGCTAACATTAAAATGACCCTCCACAAAGCTCTCATTAGATCTGTAATGACTTATGCTAGTCCCGCCTGGGAATTCGCGGCAGACACTCATCTAGTGAAATTGCAGCATTAGCAAAACAAGGTTCTCCGCATCATTGGCAATTTTCCAAGGCGCACACCAGTCCACAATTTGCACATGGCGTTTAAAATCCCGTACGTATATGACTATACAACAAAATTATGCAGGAAACAAGCAGAAGTCATACAAAATCATGAAAATGAGAATGTTCGCAACATCGGACAAAGCGAAGCCTGACACAGAAAGTATAAGAGGCTTAAACTTGGCGGCGGTCAGGCATATGACCGTTCAAGTAACTAGACTGCCATAGTAGTGAATACTACTAGAAATAGGACATAATCTGCTGTACTGAGCCTGGATTGACAGAGGCCTTGTATATATTGTACATAGAAATAGGAATTAAGATTGAATTTGGAAATATATGTAAATACTGACAATGGACTTCCTAATACGGACTATGAGTGACAAATGACAGACCCTATCTCTCGTCAGAGAGGGCGCCCCAAATGAACAGGACAGTAACTTTCATAAAAGAAAAAAAAAATCTGGTCATGAACCCCGGCCGGGGCTCGACACCAAGACAGACAGACTGAAGGACTGTCAGTTGCAATGTGACTTGGAGTTGAGTCTTGAGCTGGAATTCATAGCTGGTGGTTAGCCATGAGCAAATTTCAGGGCCTGCTATGATGCCTTTCAACCATCATGTGACAATATATATAGGGATTACTGACATGGGGCTGCTGGCCTTCTCAAACTGAGTGATCACAGTCGGGCTCCAGCCAGTTTTGCCATGCCGACTGTATTGGCACTTCACACTTCTAGTACATATTATTTAACAAAACTGTACTCACCTGGAACATCCTCAGTTTCCATAGTATCATCATCAATTTCTTGTTTCACTTTAACATTCTCCATTTCATTTGGATCGCCACCTGCAGCATGTTGACTTCCCCTAATGGAGCGAGACCCAAGATCATGAGCCCCCTGACTATCCGGTTCTATATCTTCAGCTTTCAAAGGTTTACGCCGAATCTTCCGTACCTGATAGAAATACTTTCATGTATAAATAGGTAAAACCTTACATCATGATACCAGACCATCATCACAAACCTTCAGAACAAAGTCTGAAATTTCCAGTGGGTTTTAACATTTTGCAAAACAAAATTCTGCATCAGATATTCCTACAAGTGCTACAGTGCTATGAGCTGAGTGCACAATGAGACAGGCATGTGCAATAATGGCAAGACCTAGCTTCTGGATAAAATCTACTGGACTATAAGAAAATACTCTTTATAGTACTACACTATGACACAATGTTAATATTCAGCATCTAAAAAAAGATTTAAAAATCAGGTCAAGGAATGTTTACATTTGTAGTTATAATAATCTTGTACAATGACTTAAATGGTCTCTCAGGAGCTACCTTTGTTGAGCTTATCACACTTCTTTTTAAAAACAAAACAGTGCAAATAGAAGTAACAGCACTAACAAAGGAAGGCAAAATGTACACAATTTGATATGAAAAGTACAATTCTAGTACAATAATTCTAGGAGTACTTGGGAAAATATTCCTTGGAACCACAATAGTCTGCTACACTGACCTTAAATTTTATTTATTTATGAACATTTGGAGTCTGAAGGGAGGAACTGTAACTGTTTATAAATTTATTTACGTTAAGATGATGGGACACGCGGTAGCGTAGTTGGTTGAGGGGCTATGCTACAAGCTGGAAGGTCGCGGGTTCAAGTCCCGATGAGGTCACTGGATTTTTTTCAATTGACCTAATCCTTCCAGCCGCACAATGGCCCTTGGGTTGACTCAGCCTCTAACAGAAATGAGTACCAGGAATTAATTAAATAATTTTCCTGGGGAGTAAAGCGTGGCCGGCGCGTAAGGCTGACAACCTTACTGCCATCTGTGGAGCTGATTGTCTAGATAGTGTGGGACCTTCAACATCTCACAACCCTACGGGCCTTCATGGCCAGGTACAGGGACATCTTCACTTACTTTTTTTTACATTAGAGTCTGAATTTTTGTTATATATGTGCAGGGTTTTATGTGGGTTATTCAGCACAAGTCACATTTTTTTAATAATTTTTAGAGCTCTTCATAATTTTGTTGAAACATCAAAATTATTCAGCTTATAAAATAAATTATACTCAACATCACACAGCTCTCGTATGCCGAGTGCCATTAAACTAAAACAACAAAAACTGGTGTATGTACAGAATTAATTTTGAACTTTGATCAAAGATAATTAAATATTTGTACACTTTAAACTGGATTATATGTATTATGACTGATAACGACTATTACTGCCCAATATTAGAATTCTTTTATTGTGGCCCATGCTTAAGAAGTTGTACACTTCTAATGTACAATCAACTGACTGTTTCATACTGAAGATGTAACCAGGCCATGTCAGATGGTTACATCATGACTACCTCAGAGACCTCAGGGTGGTCCGTGTAATATTCGTGGTGGACAAAGTAGCAAATTCTTCAAATAATTGGTCTTCCTCTGACAAACATCATTTCATCAACGTTCGACTGTTATTTAAAATTTCACATACCTTCTTCTTGGGCTTCTTGAACTTAACTGACATTTCTTCCTCTGTGTAATATTCTGCAGCCAACTGAGGGGCAGGAAGATCTAGAGAGACGAGTGTCTTTCCACGGAGTTTCTCTCTCACAGCCTGCAAGTTCCGATGTTTCGCAGCTTCTGACATCTCTTCGCCCAAGGCAAAGCTTGACGTCTTTTCACCCTGTATCTCCTCATCATATTTACTTAATATGGATGGTTTGTCTTCAAACTCATCATCTTCTCTGTAGACATCGTAACCATGTAAGCTAGGCTTCAGTTTCTTCTTTTCTATGTTCTAGAGGGGGGGAAATAAAGACACAGATCAAACATACATACAAAAAAAAAAAAGCCCTTTAATCAGGACAGTCACTCAGCCATTCTCCCTACCATATTATGACTCAGCATTCCGAAACTCATGGCTGTGTAGAATTTAAATGTGGACATCACCATTACATGTATCTGAGAGGTCAGCAAGAACAGTTACATCTTGGTCAGAGCAACATCACAACAGTGATATGCCATGACAATGCAGAATGACATCTCATTACAATTAAAGAGCTTTTGTAGCAGTTCAGACAGAAAACATATAAGCTTCTGTCTACAGACCAGAATATATATATATAAAGTTTCAACCTCAACGATGAACTTCTGACATTCGCACACATATTTCTTATACAGTATTAAAAAGGTAAAGATGCCATGAAGGCATAGGGAAGTGGAGGTATAGCTTCACCATTCTTGACCTCAGCACTAGATGGAGGTAAAATTAGGAGTACGCAATTACCTTTCTGTACCGTTCATCATCCATCATGTTGACATTCACAAGGACATCATCACCTTCTTCCAATACTCCCTGATCTTTCAGTGTTAATATCACAGTCTTCCCTTCAGAGAATCGATCCTGGAACACATGACAAGCGGCTCATTATTGTGTAAGCTTGCTAACAACTCTGAAGTGTAATCGCAACTAATTAACGCAATATTCCAAATATGGAAAATGTGCTTCTCTGAATATTCATACTAGCATAATACTCACAACTGCATGTTCCACTCTGAGGCCTTTCAGATCTCGGGATGAATACGCCTGTCTGCGTTCATTCCTCATCTCATCCTCCACCAGGTCACCCACGCCAAACTCTGCATCCAGCTCCTCAAGGGCTTTTGCCTGTGGAAACAAGATTTGTCATTTTAACACGTTTGGCTGAATGGAAATACAGCAGACAGACAAACAAAATTACTTCCACTGAGTAAGGGTAAACACTCGTCTCTGCCAAAACCTTTTGCTGTGTATTAGCGTTTTGTTTCATAGTAAATCTGAACAAGAGAAAATGCAGGCGACTCTCAGGGGTAATAGAAATATGTTGGCTGAATGATTTTCTCTGCACAGAGGCTTAAAAAACTTCTGGTTTTACACAGCACAGCCAAGGGTTCTTGCTTTGAACGGGCATCAAAAGAAATGCTGAATGCTATTGTCTTATTTATTTACTTATGCTTTATTTAATGACATTCCATTAGTTCAGACTGTAGAGTCAAATGCTAAGATGGAGAATAAGGCACTGGGCAGAAAGTGGAAGGAACCAGGGCTGTGGCCAAATTTGTGACACTATTCTGGCATTTTCCTGGAAGGACAGAGGAAACCTACAAAAAACCTCACTCAAGATAGCTAGTCCCCAGGCTGAGATTCGAAGCCCAGATCCTGAGAATATAAAACAGTAAGGCTATTCACTCAACCACAAAGTTCAGTGATTACTATTGTTCACTCCCCACAGAAGATCCATTTTCATGCATCTGATGACAAATGGTCAAATATTCCCCTCACAAGTTAAGTTCAAGATGAAACACCCAGGAGTCCCTGGATTTATAACATATGAAAGAGTTTCAAAACAGTTCTTACCTGTTTCTCAGCCTGCGCCCTTTCCTCTTGTACTCTGCGACTCCGAGCCACCCAAGCTTGAGCTGAGTCATCCTCTTCATCTGACTCACCCAATGGAGTAACATGAGATAATTTTGATTCAATTTGTCTCTTTTCCTTATGTTCCGTTAATCTTTGCTTCACTTTCTCACTTTGAATCTTCTGAGATATATTCTCTGCAACAACAAAACAAGAAAATTAATTTCAAAATAACAGTTTAAAAGCTGAGCGGCAGTAAACAACACAGCATGCCACAAACACATACAGGACAACATCAAAGAACCCTCTCCTCGAGAACGACAAGGCGGCACACGTTCGGCCCCTGTCAAGAGAAATAATAAGAAAGACGACACGAACCTACTTGGTTTATAAATTCCAATAAAATCTTAACAAACAGTTACAAATATTTTAATGTATTGGAACAGCCGCTGCAGTTGTAAAAACTTCAGATTTTATATCCAACTGTATATTATTAATATTATATGTATATATTTTAACGTTCAGAACATATATTGTAATAGTAACTTCCAACTTTATTGATGTAAAGGTGTCCTTCTGACAATGGTCTCTGAAGACCGAAACATGTAAGAGCATAAATAATTGAAATAAGAAAAATCTTCACCAGTCATACTAGATGGAACTGTTTAACTTTTCATGGTAAACAGTTCAATTTTAACAAAATAATAATTTTTCCTTAACCATTATGACTTTCACTAGTCCACTTATAAATGGTTGTGTCCAGTGACATGTGACATTTCATACGCCACTGAGTGCAATCTGGCACTAGTTATTATTCTAAAACAGATGACTTACCGGCTGGTTTGTGAACAAATTCTCCCATGTCAGTACCACCTTCCTTCTCGACCTCCTTTTTCTTTTCTGGGCCATCTTCTTTAAATGCTGGAATGTCCTCAATTCGAAGTGGCTTAAGTCCAAGTCGGGCCCGCAACTTGTTTGTTTCTTCAATGGACAAAGACTGGTTAGATTTTGAGCTGACAGGTGGTGCGGGGCTCTCACCAATCGATATTGCAGGTGGAGGTGGTGTTGATGGTCGAGAGATTTTGGGGGGTGGGGGTACCACAACAACGTCATCTGAAATCAAAAGAAGCAACTTCTTGCAATATCTGTTTTGACATCCAACATGCAACCCCGATTAATATCATTTCACATGAATATGATCTTGACTGAAACATGTACATTTATAAAACTGTATTCTGTTTCCACATAGAACTGACATGTCATAATACATAAATATGAATCAACAATATTAAATGTTACAGAGGAAAGGCAGTACCATCAAAGTTCTCATACCTTACTTGCCCTGCAGGAAGAATTGGCCAATGGAGAACCAAAACTTCAAACATTAAAAGAGGCAGACATAATTCAATCTGCAAAGTTACACTTCGTTTTCAACTTTTCAACTTCTGTGTCACATACTCTTAAACAAGACATTTACCAGCAAGTCATAAGATCAGACAAACTTCATTCTAGTGCAGTCGTCAACATATGAAATGTTCTCTGAAAAGTAAGTTCTGCACAAATGGCAAAATGTTTCATAAATAGTTTACTTACTGATGAATGACAGATCAACTGGTACTACAGTTTTCATTCTATAGAAAGAAAATTTAATATGCAATTCAAATATTGTACTTAAAACTCAAAATAAAAAGGGGGAACTGATTTAATAGGACGGAAATGAACATAGCATCTGATATGATTTAACAAGTTATTTTATAAGAATAAGCCATTCAAATGCCTGTTGGCATAAGAACTCCAGAAGAACAGAATCTGAAATCCCGTAGTGAAAAAGTAGAAACTTAAATTTTTTATATTACTAACAATTCTGTAAAAAAGTTATAAAACAAATGTAAACCAAAACATAACAGAATGCTTGTTAACTCTTACAACATGCTACTTCATTGCAACTGTAATCAACTGTAAAAATGACACAGTCCAGTTTTCAGAAATCTATCTCTAAACACATTTACTTCAGGAACCCAAGGTCCACAAAGTCAGAAAGTACTTAACACGGATCCTGCATAAATGCTGGGCTCCATGATAGTACACATACAGGTAAATTTGAAATTTTTGCTTTGACCAGAAAGTTAAGGAATATTTTGAAGATACTACTCGTTATCAATCTATGAGGACATCACTATTTGTAAAAATTCATTATGGGGTGAAAGATCACAGCGCAAATCCACTATGCTAAAGTCATATTACATACAGAATACAGTTTAAAAATACATACTTTACACAATGTTGCATGTTTTAAAGCACAGGAGACCGTGCAAAGTTTCTCTTTGCCTTAAAATTGAAACTACTCTTATTCTATCCTTTGGGACAAGATATTCCCATAAAATGTTTTGTTAGTACTAACATGTACAGTACAGTGACTGGCTGGATGACTGAGGCGTTGGAGTTCGAGTCCTAGCAGGGTCAAGATTGGCTCCGAGTACTGGGGCCTATTTCCTGGGGGTTAAGCGGCCGGGGCGTGAAGCTGACCACTCACTTCCAACAAGTGCCAAGGTCAAGAAAATGTGGATCTATTCATCCACTCCCCCATATGCCATCATGGCACAGTGCATAATCAGTTAAAACACAGGGACAACTTTACCCTTTACATTTCAGTAGAGTACTATGTTCTGGGATATAACATGGTGCAGCCTGTTGATAGTCACCTGCTTTCAGGCTGGTACCTTGCTTGGCTTATTCTTTGACCCTGAAGATGGAGGCAACATGTTCCTCCGAAACATCAGTTGACTTTTAAACGGACTATAACTCAGAAGACAGTACTCTTCATAACCGCAGCTCTGAAAACCTCAAATCCTACATACATTTAAGCAGTTCAAACACAAGATACGTGACATGAAACGTCACACAACTTTAACAAATATGTGCAACCAGTTACATCCTGCATTTTCTGTCTCTTTTTCTTTTTTTTTTGCATTCCTTAATTTCAGGGTTAACAAGATTTCTACCACTCTGAAAAAAAGCAGAAAGTTTATACATAACACATGAAGCCGACATTGGTTCACACCTTCAACATTAATAACAAACAGCATAATAAACAGAACTAAGAAGAATGATTAACTCAAATGTACATATAGCAGCATAACAAACAAACCCTTCAAACATGCCAACTGTGGGCTAAGATGTGACACTGAGTGGCCTGGTTGGGCCCACTGTACACTCCTGAAAAGTGAAAGAGAAGGGAACACTGGCGAAACAATGATTCGATCCACAGAAACGTGTGATTAAAGGGGTGGTTGATTTCCACAGCCCTGTAAAGATTACAGTCTTGTGAGATGTGATGCCACGTAGCTTAGTGTTGAACAGGTTCCTCCAACACACTAGTACTTACCTACTGAATTACATGATATTTCATACCACGTAACCACAATCGTGGCTGTCCAGTCTGTTCTAATGGTTAACCACCTTTCTCTGTAATTAGTGATTCTTACATTTACTGAATAAAGACATACAGTAAAACTTGGTTATAGCAACATCGGTTTCTGCGACACCTTGTCTATTGCGTCAAATATTCAATGGTACGAACTAATTCCTCATAAAGCAACTGTTTTTATACCCTGCTTAGCACGACATGCACAAATGCATCAACCTCGTATGTAACATCATTTTCATTCCTGAATTTCTCTGATATGGACATTGAACGTAATTTAGANAGTTACAACAACATTAGTTTATAACGACACTACTTTTAGGTCCCTTTGATGACGTTATAAGCAAGTTCTACTGTAGTTCCCTTCATACAGATCTTTGAATCTGCGTAACAGTGTGTAAAAACGTAATATTTGCTACTTGAATTTTGTTGGCATCTCTCCTTCTTAATCCAGCTTCACGTAATGATAAAAATATGGGAACTGCCAACATTTTACATAATATCAACCTCCTCTTTTCCCTACTTTGTTATTTTAATGGTCTATCATCAACAAATTTCCTGATGACAATGTATTAAATTATTTACGTCAGAGTTAGCTTCGTAAGAAATGTCATATCACAGTCAAAATACAGAACTTGAAACTTGTTCTACAATAAAATTTAAAATAATTATTTTACAGTGGACCAGACATTCACATTAAACTGTTCACCAAGATTTTGTAAAATAAAGAGAGACTTACTGATTTCTGAATGGCCATCTGAATTTTGTATTTATTTAGGAAATATTTTTCATTTAACTTCACACCTGGTCTGGCTGGCTACTTTTGTTTCCTTAAAACGTCATTCTGATAAAGATTACTACCCTTTCCTGATTTACTTCACACCATTTTATTAACCACAGGCTATTCCAATACTTCGTTAACTGAAGTGCATTATAACCAGGGCCTGGATTTTGATGACATGTCATCTTTTTTTTCCTTGTATCCTATGTGATGCTCTTAAATATATAAATCTCAGATATGAGCCGCTGGTTACAGAAATGTAAATTTTATAGGTAATTTTTTTTACTTTTAAGGGTATTTCTTGCCATTTTTGGCCATTTTAGGGAATTTTTCTTCATTTGTTTTCTGAAATATGAATAATATGGAAGCGAAGTGTTCTTTCTTTTCTCTTTTAAGTCATTTTTCTGGATTTTTTGGTCATTTCATGTCATTTTTTTAATATTTTCAGGTCATCAAAATCCGGGCCCTGATTATAACACATAAATATATGGGGCATCTTAAAAAAAAAACTCCAGGGTAATATAATATTAAGACAAAGGATTAGAACAGTGCAGATATGGAAACTGCAACAGATTATGCCAAATTTGACACATGAAATCAGTCCAATCCAACACTTCACAGATTTTAGTATGAATGAAATAAACTCAGAGGGAAATGTGGCATTCTTCTACGACAAATCGGTACAAAAAAACATGGGATCCATTCTCCCACCTATAACAATTACGACAATATCTGAACTCAGTCCACACCCTGGTCAGCAACCCAGGTGTCACTGCTGCTACCGTCACTGTGCTTCCATGCTGCAAATCCTGCAAACCGTCAGCTCATTTGACATACTGTAGCGTGTTTGGGTGTGTCACGCTACAAATAAGTTTATGCCGTGGTATTTTATATGGCGAATTTATTCCACTCGCTCACCTTACACACCTTACAATCATTAACTCTTGCAGTGTTACAATTACTGCTTACACAATGTCTCGGCCGGTACTGGACTGCTTTCTTTAGCGGTTGGATCCAGACTAACTGTGCGAATGCATTCAACCCCGTTTTATAACCTGGATTCCAGACACGTTACATTGCTCCCTTCTAAAGGTTGTTCGTCCCCGAACAGCCTAAAGGTTCTCCCTCGGTTTCGATTCCGCGGTGTTCTGCTGGCAACGTCTGCACTCGGTCTTGGTGTCCTTTGCGCGTCTTTTTGCGCTGTTCATTGTACCACATCCACCCCTCTCTTCAGTGGTGCTCGCCCCGAGCACTCCCGTAGCCGAGAATTTGTCGATCGCGTTATTTTACATTCATTCTTTGCTCATTCAGTCTTCATTCGTCCATGCGGGGAGGCCGGTACTTCCATTACCGGTTCCTCCCATGCGGGCCATTTTCCTTTTTCCGTTTTGGAGGGGGTCGACCCCTCCACAGTGTCCAATTCAGGTACCGACGCTCCGAAAAACGCTGATACCTCCTCAGTGTCGATTCTCTCTCCTTCCGCAACCTACAGAATATCCTAGTTGCTCCCTTCATGATTTTCAGCTCTAGCGTCTTCTTGAGGGTCTTATGGGCCGGCCCTATTTCTCCCAGAGGTGGTAGGTGTCCTGAGCTGCACCCTCCCATATTGATGGGGGTTGCTCTCTTCTTTTTCTCGTATAGTGACCGCTTGCCGCCTCGATCCTTGATGCCGTCTTTACATTCCGGTCTCGTTTGATATCTCATGCCAAACATCCGTTTTTTGGGGATCCTAGTTACCACATCGCCATTGTTTTGTCCGTAACGCCTGTGTCCTGCACGGCATGTTATCTTTATTCCGGTGGCGGCCACTTCTTTCCGCTGGCATCCGAAGGTTCTCTGGGGAGTTTCCTTCTTGAAGGCATTTCTCCAACGTCGTGCCACTGTCGCGCGACGGAATGTCTTCCTGCG